TGTCCGTTATACATTAAACGCACATGCGTAAACATTTTATGAGCATGTGCACAACCATATTCGCAGCCGTAAAGGTCTTATGCGTGCACGTAAACACCTATGTGTCAACGCGACACATGCGCAGAAAGTTTGTAGGTTTGAGGTCCGAATTAACGACTTTTGACTGTACAAAACAATTTATCACCTCTGCTACATTAGTGGCATATTGGAACCTTAAAATATGTTAACTAAGTTACAGTCCCAGGAACTGTATATGAAGTTATAACATTAACTGTGTCAGACAGATGGAGCACAACTAACTTTTAAAATTTGCCAACTTCAAAACTACATCAGGCTTTCAGGTTCATTCTGATCAACAGATCTCTCTCTAGGCAAGCAGCAGCACTGGCAACAGCCAATCTTCTGTTACGAATCATGCTGATTATGATTTTATTTCTCATTTTAACCTATGCCATTTTGTATAAAATCTGCCTGCTATTTACTAAGCCTCTAGACTAAGTACGTGGCAAAATGAGACATAAAAGAAAAAATCAATGTAAAGTTAACTGTTAGTAAAACATAAATAGAATGTCCCTAATCTTCTTTTAAATATGTCCAACTATTATATGTGCAAAATATTTAATGCTACCTGATAAATTTTAAAAGTGGATTTTATTCTCAAATCTGTTTTATAGTCATATTTATTAAATTATGTTTAATAAGAATGCATCCTACGTACGGATCTATTTTATTTTTAGAGGGTTATTACAGAAACGGAGTTCATACATAAGTTGATTGAAATTTAATTGTATTTATTCAGCTTCCATTTGCTGATAGGTCCTTAATTTTTTTTCATTAATGGTCCTTAAAAGTACTTAATTTCCATGTGCAGAAATGTGTACGAACCCCGTTAATTATAAATTCACTGAATCTGTGCTTTGCAGGCAGCAACATTGGATGTTTTTCATAAAACTTCATTTTTGATTCGTTTAATCTCCCACCAACTGCAATAATTTCTTTCTCATCTAAAGATGAATTCAAGATCTTTGATTCTTTCAGAATATTTTTTTCCCCTTCTTTAAGATTCTTTAATTCTTCTGGAAACTTTTCCTCTATATTTCCTTAATTCAGCTTGAATTCTGTCTTCCTTGTTTTTGTTTCTCACATTAAATTTGAATATCTTAGCTTTGCAACTGAACCATATTTCTTCAAATTTAGAAAGTAAATTTTCTTTTTCTTATTTTTGTCAAATGTGGCATTCACTGATATTTTAAGTTTTGATCTTCTTTTCTCTATAGTCAAAGGACAGATTTCAACTTTATTGAGAGGCCATGTTTCCTCAGCTTGTTATAAAGAACTGGGACCTCCAAACGAATTTTCATTGTTAACCAAATTTGCTGCTCTACAACCTCTTGATATTACATCCACTGAATTATCTCGACTGCTGCACTGTCTCTGATTCAATGGATCAGATATCTCTCGAAATTCACTAATTCCATTCACGTTGTAAACCTTCCACTGTTTGGTATTTCTGCGGATCCAGCAGTTACTCAGGAATCAGGCTGCAAGAAGTAATTATCCCTTGTGTGAAAAATAGGTTTTAAGAAGTTGAGTATTCTTACAGCAATCAGTGTTGCCATCAGCTTTAGCCATGGCAAAGTTAACTTCTTTACTGGTACCCTTAATTTAGATGTTACAAAGCTAACTTCAAAAGTTTCATCTGATGTTTCATAGAGGACATATGCGATGGCTTCGTATGCTAATTCACTAATGTCGACAAAAATATGTAAATGGATTTCATTGAGATCTGATTTGAAACACATCTAGGTAATTGATAAAGTTTCCAATTTAGAAATGTCCTTACACCAATTCTTCCATTTTTCTTTCAAATCCTCACTTAGTTCTTCATGCCATCCTGCACCTCTCTCTTGAAACAGAATCTTGACTCTAATTACAAATGGCATAATTAATCCCATAGGGTGATAAATTTTACATGCAAATTTCAAAACGCTCTCTAGCAATGGCAAAATAGAGGAAGCATCAAAACTAAATTCATCAGTTTCGCTGTTCCAAACAATACCCAATACTTTCAGTGTTACTTTACAATTTTTAGAAATTGAATGATTTTCAAATCCCGTATCATTTCAGATTTTCAAAAGCTCATTTGAATTCGTTCCCTTTTTTCTCAGATTCATGGCTGCCTCAAAAGATTAATTTTGCATCCGTAGACCACTTTCGAGCTTCAGATACGGAACTTGCTCCTGCCAGCAGATCATTGACATATAAACATTCATTCAAGATTTTAAAGACAATCTATTAAGCTTTTTGGACAAAGCATCGTAAACTACTCTTAATTTTGTAGTTTCACTGTCTGTCTTAATAACAGGATGATGAGGCATATAGTAGTTTTGTTTTGAAATACAAATATACGGTAATTTCCAGAAGAAACGCAGCGGCGTTTACGTGTTTAAAACTTAAATTTTCAGTGGGTGCGGTGTTTAGGTGCACTAAAAATAAAATATTTCCTATGATGGTCATTGTACATTGTACATAGCCTTGTTGTACGGTTCCACACAAAGACCACTCGTTTCTTTTTGCGAAGTTTTTGTTTATATTCTATCCTTGAACGGACCTACATGCCTTATTCATCCTAAACGGGATCTCAGGAACAATACATCTTTTTATTCCATCGCATTCTCATCAGTTTGAATAGTCACTCTCCTCTCCATTCATGATCTTCCGGACCCATCCTCCCCACCTGCCTTTTCTGCAATTTTTTTTAAAGGCGGACACAACTCCCTGCCTCACAGCTAATGAACTCTGGCGTATTTTCCCTTCAGCATGAATTTTTTTGCATTCTGCAGATACAGATCCATCAGTTTGGGTACAAGTATTGTTGGCTAGTTTTAAAGAAGGGCGTGGAATTTTTGGAAATGGCACCTAAATGGCACAGAAGCTATACTGCTGGTTTTAAATGTAATTTCACGGGCTGAAAATTGGAATGGGTAGCAGCTCGAGAGTTTGAGTGAACGAGATTGTATTCGACCGTGGAGAACGGAAAAAGAAAACCCCCAACAGAAACGAGCCAAAGAAGTGGTAGTAAGGTAGCCAAATCTAGAGGACGACCTTGCAAACGGGATAAGGAGCACGAGGAAAGGGAAATGGCAATTCGACTGTAAAAATTCGCTTACAAGCAAAATTTAAGCAAAACAAATGAACATAAATGATTTCAAAGGAGGGCCTTGCTAGTGTAGAGATTTATGAAAATAAAAAATATTTCTGTGTGTATTAGAACAACAGTTGGGCAACAATTACCAATAAACTGGCAGGATAAAAAGACATCTTTTCTAAAATAGGTGACATATTATTGACCAAAAAAAACTTCTTCGGTCACGGATAATAAGTATGGATGAAACGCCGTTAGCTTTCGACTTGCCTGCAAACAGAACTGTTGATGAAACTGGTGCAAAAACTATATCTGTGCTTACGACAGGGCATGAAAGAATGTCATTTACATGTGTGTTAGCTTGTGCCGCAAACGGTGACAAGCTAAAGGCAATGATCATTTTTTAATGAAAAACTATTCTGAAGGTAAATTTTCCTAATAACATAATTATTTGTGCAAACGAGAACGGCTGGATGTGCGAAACAATCATGCATCAGTGGCTACAAAAAGTTTGGCAGTGTCATAAGGGATCTTTTTTCCACCAAAAGGGTTATTGATAATGGATTCCAGCGTGCTCATTTACTTGAGTCAGTGAAAACCATATGTCAAAATTGTCTTCGACCGTAGAAATAATTCCTGGTGGTTGACAAAAATCTTACAACCATTATTTGTCAGGTATAAATCCTTCAAAGCTGAAGTCCGAAGCGGTGGGGGTGGGAGTGTTGGATGAGTGAAGGATTGCAACGTATACCAAAAGCAGTAAGTAAATGCGTAGAGCATCTTATGAAGAAGTTGCAAAGTGGGGAGGAAGTGTGTGGAAATCGGTAAAAACATCATCAATAATAGCGGGTTCAAAGAAGCTGAAATTATCCTTCGATAAAGAGACTGTAAACCAAGAGGTGATGACAATCTGGAAGACTTGGATCAGGATTTACTATCTTTTAATTGGTAGGAAAAATCAGATTTGATGGCTCTATGATTATAGTTGCTGTAATTCCTTTGTAAGTAAAAATTTAAATTCCTTTGTCATCCAAATTTAATATTTCGTGTTGCAACATTTTTATAATGTAGTCAGAGTATTACAAATATGGACTTCTTTAGTGGGTAAATATAAGTATATTCGTAAACGTAAATATATTTTCAACATTTCTTTAATTTATTTTTGAGTTATGGTTTCATTTCATGCATTTTTCTTAACTGATATATCATATATCAGGACACATGTTGAGATTTTGCATCTATACAGCCCACGATGAGTTCACTGTTCACTGTTCTTGCTCTTTTTTTTTTTTTTTTTAAGTAAGTTTGAGGGCTCTGTAATCATATTTGTGACTTCACTCTGCCTCATTTAGAACTAAACACTTGTTGAATGGGTTGGATATGACCAACAAAACAGTAGTAGGTTGAAACAATCACCTGTGAGAAATTTGTATTCGTGACATTTTAAATAGAGCTTTCGGTAAAATCAGAAGGCCTAACAGAATAGGCTTTTTACAGAGTGCAAAAGACTGATGAATAATTTATCATAAAAATTGCAAATATAAGGGTGGCAGAAACCTGCAGGATCAGTTGATGCAAATTAGGCAGGATCTCCACCTTCATGGTTTGTCAGTAGCCATGACTGTATAGTATGTAAGTACTATAATTAGATTTTATTGACAAATGATCAACCGGAAGTAAAAGTTTACTTAAAGCTTTTTGCTATTCTGTAGTGGGAGGACATATGTTGGCTACATCAGATTTTATCATTTCCCCCTTTTTTCTTTTTTTCCCAAGCTGTTTTGAAAGCATGATTTGTTTCTAGACTTGATGCAGAAAACTTGTATTCTTATTTATGTTAAACTCTGCAATCTAGGTAGAAGAATTAATCAAAGCCCTTCAAGATTTGGAGAACTGTCCATCAACAGATGCAGTAGTTCGGGAAAAAATAGCCAGTTTACCACCAGAAGTTTCTGATATTACATTATTAGAAAAAATACAAAGTAAGTGTAATTATTGAATGTTTTTATTCATTATTTGAAAATATGAAATTAATTTTGCTTAAAAGTTAAAAATATTTTAAAACAGAAGTTGTGGCTGTGATACTGTAATTTTAACTTTTAGTAGATATAGATACAATGCATAATCACTATGAAGTTTCCATTTTTATGATAAAAAACCGTAAAATTAGGAAAAAGAAACAAAGTCAGAAAAATTATGCTAATCCTTAAAAATAAACTAAAGTATATTTTTAAGTAATTATGTAATATTCATTAAACTTACCATTTTCAATCTTCCATTAACGGAAAAAGAAGCTAGCATTTATTTTTTGATATTTCCAACATACAGTAAGACCCCGCTTAACACTGTTTCGGTTTAGCGCTCTTTTATTTCAACCCGGGTATTCCACGAAATCGCTCGCGCACGGGGATTCCACAAATATTATGCAGCGATAGGTTTCAAATACATATCCGAAAGAGTGTACTTGTATTTCTTGTTTGGTGCGGTATTGTACAGACATATTTGAAGGGTAAATGTGGAAGATGTCGAAGAATAATTCAAGAAGCAGCGGCTAGTCTTTCTAATGATGAGCTCAGGAATTAACTGAACAAGAAGAAGAAAACAAAAATGTTGACAGCAGTGATTCAGAAGAAGAGCAAAAAGAACTTTCGATGGCATTTGTAAAAAGGAGTTTGTCTACCATAACTGAAATAATGGATCAATTCATTGAAAATGATCCGAATTTTGACAGGAGCTCAAAAGTAAGGCGTGGTGTTAGAGATGCTCTATTCGTTTATGAAGAACTTTAAGAGAACAAGCAAAAGAAAAAGGCAAACAACATTAGATGCTTTTGTCACAAAAGGCAGAACACTGAAACGTGGAAGGCTAACTAATATCTGACTTAGAATTTATTTTTATTTATTTTTTTTAAGAATATTCGTTTTGTTATTTATATTTTGTTTTTATTTTTGCAAGGAATAATAATGTGGTATAAATTGGGCTTTAAGAATAAATGCTTGGTTTTAATTTTTATGTAAAAACATACTTTTTAAATTTAATACCTAACCAATTTCCTAGCCATCTTCCCCTAACCCCAATATTTACGTGTAAAGATAGCCTCGTTTAGCGCTGTTTCGCATTACGCTCTACTTTGATGGAACGTATCCCCTGCGTTAAGCGGGGTCTTACTGTATTACCTTTTACTGGGTTCTGATTTATGCATTAGTTTCCAAGAAACTACCAGCTGAGTAAAGTTGTGTATAAGCTGTTCATCCAATAGTGAAGAAGCAAAAATGAAATGAGTTGGAAATATAGTATGTGTTTATGTGAAATTTTGCATAAAACTTTCAGGCAAACAGTTCAGATACTTAATAAAGCATACAAGGATGAATGCATATGCCGAACACATTGCTATAATTGGTTTCAACATTTTAAAGACAGTAGAAATTAGGTTAAAGATACAAGGACTTGATGCCCTACTGCTATCAATATGATCAGAGTGCGCTAGAAATTTGTACTCTATGGTCGGACAGCAAACAAGAAATCTACTAGAGAATTCTAACATGTTTGAGGTGGACAAGAAGAAACCTGAACTGGAAAGGAATCAGTCATGTTGCATCATAACAATGCTGTACTCATCATTCCTTGTTACCAATTATCTGACAAAATATTGCACTTCTGTTTCGCCCCATTTATTCTATTCTCTGAAGACCCCAAGAGACTTTTTTCTTTTTTCCAAACTTAAAACCACTTCGTAAAGACATTGTTTCCAGTCCCTAGAGGAAGTTCATGAAAATGCAACAAGAGTACTGCATGCCATGAAAAAAGGTGGTTTCTTGCAGGCATTCAAAAGTAGAAGAAATGATGGCAGTGGCAGAGTTGCCAACTCTCATGATTTCGGCAAAAGACACTTCTGATTTCTGACCATACTTCTGCCAACCCAATTTATGATGTATTTCTCCTGACTTTCTCTTACTCTGAAAATTTCTCGTGGTTTTTATGTAACTTAGCCTAATACTTCAGTATTTGTCCCCCAAAAAGTTGTTTTTGGCCTTTGAAAGGGCTTGATTTTTATCCAGATTACGTACAAAAGAAAACAAAGTTGTTTCATCAGTAAGATGTAATGGCACTCTTTGTCTGTGAGAGCATATTTGCCTGAAAATATCATGTTCCAATTCTCCAATGAACATTAAGTGCCACTACAGGTCATCTGGAGTATATTAACTATTGAGCATAAAGCAAGACCGAGGCTGTTTTTTTGTTCATCTCACCACTGAGCGTCATGAGTTTCATGTGCTTCTGAGAAATCGTCTAAGAAATTGCAATTTTTTTTAGTTATGTCTGCAGAAAAAGAAAAATATTCATGTACTTTTTAATAAGCCATACACAGATGACTTTCCTTGTATTATTTTTTGTCAAGGAAATGCATTTGCGATGTGTACCCTTTATCATTGCGATTTTTCAATTTTGCTTGGTGAAAAGTCGATGTTCTTAAACATGCATACACAAGGACAACATGAGTTGGATTGGAAAAAATAAAATTTCTGTGGAAACAAAAGGTCAAGAAGTTATTAATGCAGAACACCTGTTCTCTGCCTTTTTACTGGAGCACAACTTGCCACTAAATTCATGAGATCATGTTGCAGCTTTATTTAAAAAATTGTTTTCCAGCAGTGAAATTGCTAAGAGATATTCAAGAGCAAGAACAGAAATGGTAGTAGTGCGTAGGAAAAAAAAAATGGGTTCAAGAGATAGGAATGAAAAATAAATCTTTAATTATTGATTGCATTAAAACAGTTCCATTCTGCCTCTCTAGAGATGGAAACAGTAATACTGGTGTGAAACTGTATCCAACTGTTTCTTTTTTAAATTGAGAGTCTTCAGAAATTTAGTGTAGTTTATGTTCTGTCCCCATTTAAGGAAAAGATTCTGTAGGCTTTAATGTACCACAGCTAATTATTACAACGTTAAAAGAAAGTGCAATTCTTCTGGATAATGGTTTAGCACTTATTGCTGACAATGCATCAGGAATGGTAGGCATGAAGACTGTTGTTATAGGCAACTTAAAAAAAAGAAAACTCAGATCTGCAAGTTATCAGATATACCTGTCGCCTTTTAAATTTAGGAGGGGACAACTTCTTTATCAATAAATGTAGATGAATGTATTGTTCATATTTATTGAGTTTTAAAGGGAGGGGGAAATTGAAACAATTTTAACAGATGCATAATACTTTAATAAAAAAAAATGAAACATGTATATACATGTGGGAAACGTTATGTCATGATATTCCCTAATCCCCTACTGTGTGACGTATGCATTGCGTCAGCATGTGTTTCCCGCCTTCGGAAGAAGACGAGGATTAGCTGGCGAGCGGAGCAGACGTCGCTCTATCGCTTGTATACCATTTTCATTAATTGTAATCCTAATATAATCTATATTTGTAAATAGTAATAAATGTGTGTTATCAACTATGGTCGTTGCCTTTCCCCACATTTTGGGGGCTCGACCGTGCCTTTTGTGCATGCGTTATAATCGAACCCTAGACACCAGCAATCACTAAAGACGTTCAGAAAGCTAACAAAGGCAAGACGTGCCTTTATGACGATTTAATATTTAATATTCTTCTTCAAGCCAGACGACGTATGTGAATGAAGACGTGCCTTTATGACGATTTAATATTCTTCAAGCTGGACGACATATGTGAATGATGTTACATGCTACTTGTCCGTTCTTCTGATTTTGGACGTTAAATCGAAATTCGATTTTGGATTACATTGGATTGGCCAAGATATATATTGGATTATAAGGACTGCCCCGAAGTTAGGTAGGCCCATTTTTCCCTAATTCGTTCATAATTTATTAGTATTACGATTTTAAGCTGTGTTTATACTGTTTAATTCTCATTCATACATACCCTATTTCATATTCATATTGTCCTATTTTACTGTTTAAAGAACTATGGCCCTAAAATTAGGTGATATCCCATTGATAGCGAATTCTCTTAAATATGGCACAACACGAGTTATTAAATTATTTAATACCGTGCTCGGATATTCCGATTTTGATCATTCTTCGCGAAAGAGAATGCGAAATTTTGCCGCGTTCCCGGACAGTTTCGATTTGGCAAAACATAAAGAACTTCTATTAAAAGATTTTTCTTTATCAGATTTTATATCAGTGGCGAATTTATTGCATTTGGAAGCTTCCACTAATAAAGATGTTTTATGTGAAAAAATTTTTCATGCGCTCACTAATCTGACGGATTTTCACAATTCCCTAGATGTTAGTTTTTTATCCGATGACGATCATTCAATTTCAAACACCGACAGTGCACCGACGCCTGTAGGTCTAAGTTCTTCTGTTCCCCCTTCCCCTCCCTCCACGGCGCCAAGCCCAAATCGCGTTGTTTTTCTTCTGACGCGGAAGTAATAAATTTGAATTCGAGTCGCTCCGGTGTTTATATGACGGCGAACACCGAGATTCGCGAGATGAGTCATGACTTTATGGTTTATTTTGAGAGATCTTTCAAACACTTGCAGAAACTTTTCAGGCAATGATTCCTATTCAGTCCGTGCTTTTTTCAACGATATAGAGGATAATTTCCAATTATTCCCAAATCTTACCGACCAGCAAAAATTAGTTTTTTGCGAAACGACTTGTTGTGGGTACTGCTAAAACTTTTTTGTTTTCACAACGGAATCTCAATTCATACGACATGTTTAAAACAGTATTACTTAATGAGTTCTCCGATAAAATTACGTCTATTGAAATTCATAAACAACTCGAAAGAAGAAAAATGCGCTCGAATGAAAGCTCTTTGCAATATTTTATCGCAATGCGCGAAATTGCGAATCGTGGTGACGGTGTTATCGACGAGGCTTCTGTCATTCAGTATACCATTCAAGGAATACTAGGTACCCCATCCGATAAAATTATTCTCTACGGTGCAAAATCATATTCTGAATTCAAGGAAAAGCTACGCACTTATGAATCTGTAGTTAC